TCACAAATATGTTCACAATTAAAAATGAGTATAGTCTACGATTTATGCTTAATTTTTAATAATGTATTAAGATTATACATACGGCCACCGGTAAGTTGATCACGGTCACTTTATCGTCAATTGATCCTGACGTTTTATCCGGGTTAAACTCCCAACTGCCCCGGTTATAGTACTGGACAGTCTTGCCATCCGGTGCCCACTTTACCTCCTCTTTCCATATTCTCATACTTTTTTAATTGAAATATAATTAACGCATAAGTTTTTACTGATATTTCAAATAAATAATAAATAAATAAATATCAGTAATAATATTTAGTTAAATGTTTTAGATTTCAGTAAACTAAACTATAAAATATATTACAGTAGTTACTTTTTTTGACAATATGATCCGGAGACTAATCATTTATAATTGTTTTCAATAAATAGACTATTAAATAAATAAACTGTACCGGTATATAATTACATAAAATAATTTACACTATTAAAAGTAATATTTATTTATAGAAATGCTGTATAAAAAACTTTTTAATAATGCACTGAGTATTCAGAATTAAAACATTTAATTAAAAAATTATTACTAGTGTATTATTAGTATTGAAATTTGTATCATTAATACAGTAGATTAAAAATTAATTATACAAGTTAACTCTACTCACTCGTAAGCATAAGGACCTCGCTCAGATAGTTTCGCTTTGGCACCCCTGGCAAACTCTTGGGGATTATCAATGTTCCAGATGTAAAAGAGGTTATCTATGGGCACCGGTACTCGCTCCCAGTTTTGGGTCAAAAATGAGCCCGATTTTAGCTGCATAATTGCCCCTGCTAACCCGCCGACCAACATCGGGAAAAGTACCATGGTAGCGCCGCCTACACCCGTTGAAATAGCACCGTATTTGGCGTAACGTCTAACCCTTTTACGCATAATAACCGACTCGTATGCCGCCGTGTTCATTACAACCATACTTGCACCTTGGTACTCTAATTATTATTAGTAACTTATTAGATACTGTACTAGTATTTAGTTGTACACAAATATAAGTAGTGACACTTTTGCCTTACTATTTTAAATCACAAGTAGTAGTGTGCATAGTTAAAGTAAGTTTTTAACAAACATGTAGTTTGATGTTGAACATTTATATAAAACAAATTAGACATTGAATTTATGTGGGCTATCAACGATTTCCTAATAATATTACAAAAAACATGCATTTATTTTAATGGATTATTTTGAAAAAAGCATATATTCATAGAAATATTTTTGCATTTAGTTATTATTATTATTGCATTTCTTATGTGTACTTTTGTATGAATTAATGCTAGAATTTCAGGGTCAATAATGTTAATTATGGTGAAAATCAATATGTAAATCAGCATTATAACTAGTAATGCTCGCGTTTTCAAGTACTGTTGACATTGGGTATTGATTTTGGCTTGTTTCAAAGTCATTACTACAATCATTTATGAAAAACAAATGCCAAATTGGGCATTATCATTTTTATATATATGATGATTAGCGTAATTAATGACAATAAATATTATAAACTCAAATAATCTGATGTGCTTTTTATACATATTTCTTAAGAAGTCGTTAATTTGTGTTTCATTGGATTCATGCAATAGTCGAATAACATATCTAAATGTATTTGTAATGTGAATATATATTTTACATGTTTTTATTAGTACTATTTTTTTGTAACGAAATGTTAATTTAAATGTAACATTTTATATATGTAATTAATAAATGTATTGAACTAATAAAATCAATTAGACTTTATTTTATTAACAAACTATATCAACACACTATTTGGTTATATATTTATAGTACTTCATAAATAATTTAGTCTAATTGCTTTACAAAAAATTTAATTTATTTAAAAAATTTAAAGCTCTAAAAATTTGGTATATACAATAAATAATTAAATATTAACATTATTTCAATATCTAAGGAGAATATTGCAAGCTAAAATATTGTTACATAGAAATATTATACAAATATACCAGTAAATAAAATTCAATATTATTAAACATAATTTAGTAATACTGTAATGATGCCTAAATAATACACTAATCAATCGGTTATACATTATGGAGAATCGGTTAAACATTTAATACATTTTTGTTTAAAATTACTTTAAAAATAGTTTATTATCAATCAATTTTGCTATTAATTATTAATAAATAATGATTTTAATTTATATAATACATAGAAAAAGATTATTGACATGTTTTTTATAAATTTTACAATTTAACAATGTTTTCAAACTAATGATTATTACCGTAATTAAATTCGATAATAATTCATGTTGTTACAAATTAATTTGTTTTACAATCGATTTATTACTGTAAATACAAGTATTACTGTATTACCGTACTGTATATAAGCTTGATTAATTACACTAGCTTAATAGAGATTAATTTTTGGCAATTATTAATAAAATTATCAATAGCTGTTTGAGTGGTGTTTGTATTGGCATTGCATTCAATGTATTGTATTTGTGGTAATTTGGACAATGAATTCAGTATAACATCGGTTACCATACAGCCATCGATAGATAAATATTGAAGTTTCCGAAAGTTTCGCTCAATATTTAGCACAAAACTTTGCCTACAATTCGTGATTTCATACAAATTCAGTGTTAAATGAGTTAACCATTTGCAGCAATTCAGGCATTCACTCATTAATACAAACTTTTCGCTTTCTTTAATACAATATCTAAATCTCATTTCTAAACGCTTCAAGTGTTGAAAGTTTTCATTAATTGTTTGCAATGTTTGGCAAAATATTTCATCAGATTTTGCGTTGACATCGAGTGACAGTCTCTTGAGTTTCGCGCAATTGATACCAATTTGTTTCAATTGAGTACATCTTATATCGTGTGATGAATGGTCTGAACAAGTAATCTGTAAATCAATCAATTGTGACATTTGTGACAAACCAGTCATCAGTATATCGATGCACTTCTCATTACATCTCCTATCGATCTCCACATCAATGGATTTCATCTGATTTTTATAGTTTTCCACAAATACTGCAAAACTATTCGTGTCTTCATTCGTAAACTTAAACCCAAAAGTTTGTAACTTTGAAAACAAGACCCCATTTCTATCGCCACTTAATACATACGATAAACACATTTTCTCGCTATAATCCGAGGTATGAAAGTATGAGTAGTAGTAATAGCCATTAAATTGTGTTAAATTGTCGCAACACTTGATGTTATTAACGATTGGCTTATCTCTGGCGTCGTCTTTATGAATAGCCGTCCATTCAATTGATTTCAATTGTTTGGCAAACTTTGCGAAAAATCTGTCGTATGTTTGAAATCGTATAGCGTTTGCAAAGTTGAAGCAAATGTCTGTCAAGTGATGGCAATGTCTAGCGATTGAGTCCAACATTGGGTTCGAGTTGTTTATCACATAAAAGGGACTAATGATCGCTATTTTGGTGATGTTTTGACACTTCTTGAGGATCGTTGAGAACGACTTCTCGATTGCTCGCAATTTAACGAAGTCTTCGGTGACTATCAGCTCGTGTTGTGTCTTATATATGACTCGTTGCCACTGTTTGGACACACATTCACATCGGAACCGGTCTTCGAGTGATAGGAAAGACAATAAGTGTTGACACAAATCATCGCCCAATCGGTCCAAAGAGTCTTTCGGATAGACTTTCTGTGCATTCATTGTATGACTACTTCTTGCGGCCATTCCTCGCCTCTTATGAGACAATACTTTGCTATCAATTGAAACACAAAAATAATAAAACAATTAAATCGCAAATCAATGCAAAACCAAACACTCAATCACTTACTGTCACTAATATCTGCGGGCCTACCGGTGCTGTCAGGTGTATCCACTGAGGCAATGGTGTGACTGTATGTCCGCACACTATGTGGCACTCAATAGCATTGAAAAACACAATTAAACAGCAATTAAATGCCAAACAAATTGATTGCAAACTCAATGCAAATGCAATATGCGTTTGACAGCCAGTGTGTCACGTGGTATAGCAATGTAGGTGTAGTGCTATATAACAACGTTACACTATCTAAAAAGGGGAGGGGGAGGGCTAAATAGCATGTATTGTTGGGGTTATGCGTAAATAAATCATTGCTACGTATAGGGGCACAATAACTACTGACATAAACGTAACGTTATATACGAACACAACATTAAACGGCAATGTTTTTCAGTATTTTTGTTGTTTATCTCACAAAACATATGATTTGCAAAACACCACACATTTTGCACTCAAATAAGTCATTCATTTGATCCATAGTTTCGTTTGATTAGCATTTAGTGGTCACTCGTATGTCAGTACTGGTCATCCGGCAACTGATCCGCCGCTCAAGACATCCACTCAACGCGTACGCCAACCGTAAGGCCATTGTCTGTATGATTGCCAACCAATTGATTGTATTTAATAACTAATGATCACCGCATCTGATCCCTTAAGACACATACACCGCGTGTGCGCCTATCAATGAACACCAACACCACCGCCGATGACAACAGCGGTCGCACCGGTAGGGGAGAGGCGGACGGCGCCGAACAGTTGACAGGAGGTACGGGCGCTGCGGGCGCCGGTATCGCGTCGGTTCAGGTGGGAACTGGCGGTCAACAACCGGTGCCCAAACAGTGGCGCCCGAACCCGGAGCTCATGTCGCTGTTGACGGATATGGGTATCAGTGGTGTGGCCGCCAAGAAGGCGCTGTACTATACGGACAACCAGTCCATCGAGTTGGCCACCAATTGGATCTTCGAGAACCCCTCGCAAGACTTGGACACGCCGTTGGAGTTGGAGCTCAATGTCGGCCCTAATATACCGGCGCCCGGTGTGAGGGCTGCGGCCACTGGCGCCGAGTCGGGCCTAATGTCAGGTGCGATAGGGTTTGGGTTTGTGGTTGTGTTTTGAGTGGTGTTTGCATTATAACTGCTATTATCTGTCGTTCACTTGATGTGTATTTTAGGTTTTGTTTTAGTTTTAGTGAACAGTAGTTAGCATTAAACTGGACAGTAGTTTAGCATATACTAGTAGTTGACATTATCAAGTTCATCTCAATAGTGACGGTTAATTAACCTTGTTTATTGAGTTTTAAATTATGTTTATACTACTATTAGTAGTATTTAGCCACCAATTAGTGTACGAAATGGCGTTTATAATGAACTCAATCACTAATCACTACATAAAACATATACCACTAAAACATATGACTACCAAAAAACATAG